CCTTCGCCGGCTCGCTGTCTTTTGCGGCGAGTGCCCTCACTGGCCATTGCAGTGTCCCCCCCCCCTTGCTCTCCAGGGAGGACTAAACAGGGCAGGCTTGGGGTGAAAGAATAAACCTGACATCTGAATGGCCACGTTTAGAAACCAACAGGAGATTTTAGCCACGGGGGCGGGGGGGCTGCCCTGGAAGTGGCCATTCCTGGAGGGAGGAATCTTCCCGGGGAAAAGCCAGCGTGCAATTCTTAATGGGTTTGCACTCCCACTTAAGGATCGGATCCACAACTCGGAGCTATGATGTCACTGTTGCCTGGCTTCTGAACAGCCTGGCTCGCCTCAACACGGCCACTCCTGCCACAGTGACACGTAAACTTGACCACTTCCTATTAAGGCCTTCTTATCCCTTCTCGAAGGTCCTTTTTTCTTTGCAAATTTGGGGAGGGGCCGTCGCAATGACAATACTGTGCCCATTGCACCTTCTCTGTGCTGAGCTTTTCTGAGCAATTAAAGAGTTCTGTCTCCCAGTGGGTGGAACCTTTGCTAGCCCACTCAGGGCTTTGGCAGTATATTTTGAAAATAATACCGTTGGTCTGATTCTGTTGGGATGAGATTCAGGGACCGTGCCCTGGGGTTGCAGACAAAATGGGCACCACAGTAACTGAGATGCCCCTACCGTGGGTGCTTGCATGGATCGGTTTGTCCACCTGGTTTGCTCACCTGCCGTTCGCTTTGCCATCTTGGCATCAAATAAGAGGAGCCTCTGCCTGTCTCAGTCCAGGGGATTAACGCCTTTATGAGAGACAGCCCTCCCTTTAAAATTAGATGGTGCCCCCTCCTGAAAAAATGTCAAAACCTGGACCAGGAAGGTGCGGAACATGACAGACCTGTGGCAGATGTTGCTTCCTTAGGCCATGTGCTTGAGGCGGGCCAACCGTTCCCCTGGAAGAGAGTGTCTTTGAGGGGAAGTGGCCAAGCTGAAGCACGACAGGCTATGGAAAAAGCCCTCCATTGCCCATCCTTGAGCAGAGGGGTCACATCAGAAGACCCTTCCCTCAGCTCCTGGCTAAGGGAGGGGATGCCTGCACCTGGGCAGACACGGGCAGGATCCCGGCCAGGGTTGCTAAGCATCCGCGACCCCAGGGCCTCTTCCCTTTTGCTGTCCGCAGGATGAGCATTGGTACCTCTTTGGCTTTGCCGCCTCATAAGAGGCCTCTGGCCTCTGAGTTTATGGCTCCGAAGGACTTTTCACGGCTGCTGTGCCGAGCTTTATGGCCGGCTCGTAAAACACCACAAGCAGCCATTCAAGTCAGCTAGAAAGTGTAATGGCTTTAAAGCATGATGTGGGGGTCAAAGGTGAAGCTTGTAAATATCCTCATGCCATAATGCTTAATTGGAAAAGGTCAGCTCCTCCAGATGTTGGGGGGAGGGAGACAGGATCACCAGGCTACTGGTGTTGGTGGTTTCACATTTGTGACTCACTTGTGACGGCGAAGCCACCCTGTTAATGCTTGCCTGCTCCCATTTTTGTCTACTACAAATTGCTGTAGCACAGAAGGCACTTTATGACCAGGAGGCCAAAAGATCATGGTCTGGTCTGCTTTCTTAGGGTTACAGCTAGCAGAGACACTGGCTTAATCTCACACACACACACACCCACACACACACACAACCGAACAAGGACATTTCATGGACTGCTTTGTGCAATTTGAGTTTGGATAGGTCCCTGAATATTAATACTACATTTACATCCATTCCCAATAATACATGGTTTCATTTAAAATACGTATGTGTGATTACACGGATTTCTGCAAACAGATTCTTGAGTTACAAGTTACAGAAACCTAAACAATGTACCTTCATTATGCAAACAAGTAGGAAGGAGAAACTTTTTTAGTTCTTTCAAGATAGAATCCCAAAATCACAGACTAGGAGAGCTGCTGGGGACACCCGTACCCCCCACCCCCGAAGGGACACGGAGTCTTTGCTGGTGAAGCAGAAAAGCCATCCTTACACCTCCTTGGAGGTGGCTGTTCAACCTTTGTTAAGGAGCCTCAAATCAAGGAGAGCCCTTTGTATTCTTACGACTGCTTGGTCTTCTGACCCTGCAGCACAGGCTTCTGCGGTTTAGCCCACAGCGCCACCACGTCTGTAGTTGACCCTATTTGTTTGTTTGTTTGTTTATTAAAAACTTTGGAAGATGGGGACAATATTTGCCCAATTGTTTCCTTCAGAAACTTCACCTGTTCTCCAAGGATTCCGAAAGATTGTGGATAAAGACTGTGAGATTACATTTGTTTCTTTAGTACTTTGGATGCAGCTAATGCCGCCCTGGAGACTTGAATTCATCTAGTGCAGCTTGGTGTTCAAATACCACCTGCTCGCTTGCCTTGGGCAGCAGCTCCCTTGCCACCTTGCGCTTGGCAGTGAGGGAGCTGTGGATTCCATTTGCGCACTGCTGAGCACCCTTTTTTTGAGAGAGAGACAGAGAAGCCAAAGGCAAACAACCTGTCCAGCACTTCCGCCTTCCCGTAGTCAATGCATCATCAGCATCCTCCCAGTCGATCTGCCACTTCCTTATCCTTTGTCTTGCTCTAAGTGGGAACGGGAAACCCCATTTTTGATATCTTTACCCTTTCTTGCAAGTCTAAACTCATTCTGAACTCGAGCCCTCCTCACCTTCTCTCTACAAATGCGGGCTTGTTTATACGTTTCCTTGGTGATTTCCCCTGCTTTCCATTTTTTACACAAGCCACTTTTAAATCTCAGCTCACTGGAAAGCTAATGCAGCCAGCCCAGCTTCTTTAGATGTCTCCTTTTTGTGGGAATTGTTTGTTATTGTGCCTTCAGCATCTCTCATCTTTTAAGAAACTCCCATCTGTTGTGTACGCTGTTTTCCCTTTGAGTATTTCTGACCCTAGGCACTCACCCGGTATTTCTTTGAGTCCAGAGTACTTTCAGCTTTCTCTTTCTTTTGTAGAATTAATCTTAAGTGGGCAGGATCGCTTTTATCCAAAGTTCTCATTGTGTAGACTTTTCTGACCAGAGTAAGACCCAGAGCCAGAATTAGCTGATCCTCCTGTGATTTCTTACACCTTCTGGAAGATAAAGTGGTTGGCAAGGGACGTGAGCAATTGGCTTGAAATTTGGGGTGCTTCAACGATGCCAGGATGGTTGAATTCTCTCGGTTCTTCTCTCTTTGAATATCTTGTTATCCTGATCGTGGAGGACGGCCATCCAGATCTTCAGTCTGGCTGGAAGATCTTTAGCATATCCCCACAACAACATCACCCCGGCTTTTTCTTGTCTGATGTGTATCCAGATGCTCTCCACCTTCATCCTCTGCTCTACCTCATGAATGTCCTCGAAGCTGCATTTAAAAAAATCCCAAAGGAAGCCGTGTGGTCCTTACACAATGCACATGCAGAAGAACGTAACCCCTCTAGTAACTAGACTACTAAAAATCAAAGCGTGTTTCATGGAACAATCATCCCATTCCTTCAATACACACCAGTAATTTGTGGGTAGTGCAGATAACCGCTTTGCTCCTTTGCCGTCCGCCAAAACACACCGCCTTCCCTGCCTCCTAGAGTTGCTGCCTCGTGGGCTTGCCCGGCCTGGCCTTTTGGCCTCTGGTCCGTCCATACACGGGGAGGCACCCTCACGGCCATCTCCACCCACTCCTGTCGTTCCATGAGGAATTCCCATACGCTTCTTAGCCTTACACCCTTGGCACCCTCTCCCCCACCGCCCGACCTGTGGCACCGCCTGTGCCATCCGCCAGGGCGGGCTTCCTCTCTTCTGCCCCTCTTGGCGGCCTCGGGGCCCCTCCCCACGTTTCTCTCTCTCTCTCTTTCTCTCGGTTCTGCTTCTGTGGTGCCTAAAAGGAAAGGTCTTGTCTTGCTGCCCTTTTGCCGAGGGATGGTCCTCCCCTCTTCCGAGGGGTCTCTGCCCTGCTGCCTCTGCCCCCAGGAACTCCTCCGGGCCCTTCCGCTGCTTGGGCCCTAAGGCTCCGGAGACCCTCCTGGGAGCGGAGTCAGAGCGGTGGCCAGATCACATGTTAAGGGAAATGTGGTTTTCCTGCTGTTACGGTGTTTTCCCTAAAAGCACCCAGGGCCATCCAAGCTCTGTGCCTGAGCCGCCGGACTTGCCAAGGAAGCCTGAATTTACCATCCCCCCAACCAATCCCAAAACAAAAGCAAGGCAGAGTGAGGCCAGCTAGCGCAAGGGGAAATGTGCTTCGGTGGCGCCCGCCCGCTGTCTGTCGGCGTCCAGTGGGATGAGAGGTGGTCTACTGAGCAGGTCTTGGCTGGCGGCAGGTGCCTTTATGGACCTCTTTGGGGAAGGAGGGGAAGGAAGAGGTGGTTGGCGATGGATGGAGCGATTTGGCGATGGAGGGGACTGTGGGTGGAGGAGCGGGCAAGCAAGTCACACACACACACACACACCCCGCAAGTCTTCCGGATGGAGGGGACTGCGGGTGGAGGAGCGGGCAAGCGAGTCACACACACACACACCCCGCAAGTCTTCCGTGGCAGAGACAGGCCTCAGTGAGCTGTGCGCGTGTGGATTTGAATGCAGACAGAAGGAGGGAGGGAGGGAGGGTGTTGCAGTGGTGCAGCCTCGGATTGTGGCCCGTTGAGTGGGGTCCCCCACCTTAGGTGCACAGATGGGGGATGCTGGGTGTGGTTCTAGAAAGCCAGTCCTGCCTTCTTCCAGTGCTGGGCATGGCCTGATGGCTTCAATCTGACCGGGCAGTTTTGGGGGGGGGCGGGAAGAGGCCCCTGGGAAGGCTCACCCCCTCCCTGCCCCTCCGCCAGAGATCCTTGCATATATTTAAGTTCTCCTTTCATGTTTTGTACTCTCTGTGTGTGCCTAATTTAACCATGTCTCATGATCACCTTCTCACCTCAGCACTTCCCCTGAAGGAGCCGGCCTGTCCCATGGCCTCATCTTCATTCACCTCTTCTGTGTTGTTTTGCTCCCTTTGCTTCCATCCTTCCCAGGTCGCTCCGCAGCCCGACCCCCTCCGATCGGCTCAGTGACGAACATGCGCTGATAGCAGCCTACGTGAGCCGGCTCCAAAGTGGTCCACGGTTAGTTTTAGGAGGAGAGCAGGCTTGTGCGGATGTGGGGGAGGAGGGGAGCATGTTTGTGTGTGCAAAGGTGTGTGTGTGTGTGTGTGGTGGGGCCACAACAGTCTTTCCCCTTCGGCCCACCCCCAGGAGGTGGGGCCACAACGGTCTTTCCCCTTCGGCCCACCCCCAGGAGGCTCGAGTGGGCAGCGTCAGTAAAGAAAACATTCCTCAGTATCGGCTCTTGGATTATTTTGGGTGGCTGGGTTTTTAAGCATCCTGCCCGGAGAGAACTACTCAGAGAGAAAACAGCTTCTTTTTTATGGCAAGTGACCTAATGGGAAATTTGGGCAAACCCCAAAGTACTTTCAGGTACCTCCAGATATCGGCCTGCTCTGAATAGGTGGTCCTTGAGGCACAGGTGCCAGCCCTGTGTCCTCCCCCCCACACACACACACACTTTGGGGCACCTGGGATCAGATGCCTTCCCCCGGGGCCAGGCTGGTCCAGGCTGATCCCTCGGGTGGCACGGAGCTCCAATCAGCCAGAAGGAATCCTGCCCTCCTGTTTATCTGTGCCAAAGTAACCGTGTGCCTTGTGGCACCCTAAAGGCGATGAAATCTCGCTGGGCATCAGCTTTCCTTCTGTCGTTCACACACATGCTGTCCCTCAGCAGATCAGCAGCTTTGTAGAAAACAAACAGCCAAGTCAGTGGGATCCCAGAACAGTCAGGGCGATCCCTATGCAAAATGGGTGGAGGCAGCATCGGGGCTGTTCTTGGTCCTCAGGTGGGAATCCTTTCTGAGAAAAAAAGCCAAGCCAAGCCCTGCTGGCTTCAGCGATGCCCTGGGGGGGGCCTTTGGAAGAGGCCGGGTTTTCACCTGGGCGGTGCCCTCGTGAGCCCTTGAGCCCCTCTCACCATAGATGGCTTACGCTCTGGCTCGTCATGGCATCGGCAAGTTGATTCTTAGGACCCTCCGTTTCTTTTCGTCTACCTGAGCTCATATATAAGAGGCACAGGGAGGGAACCCAACCCCTGAGCCCTGGATCCACAGCCTGAGATCCAATTCTCTTCTGAGCCGGCCAGCCAGCTGTACCTTAATTCCGTTGCGTATAAACGAGAAGAAGCCTCTTCACACAACCTCACAGTTTGAACCTAATCTGGTTGCGAAAATGGTGCGTCCTGCTGAATTTACAGCCGGCCCACTCGTAGTGCTGTGTGAGGCTTGTCAGGGTGAGTGGAATAGAGAAGGGTGTATGGGGGGGGGGGAGGAATGGTGTCTCCCGAAGCATGGAGGGCCAGTTACGATTCAGCAGGTCATCTCACCTGAGCAGGACTGGCTTGCCACAACAGCCACTGCTCTGGAAGTGGCCCGGGGTCCCTTTTCTCCCCTGGAGCAAGAGGAGCAGGCGCAAGGACATGTCCTCACGTCATGTGGCTTTGATTCCAGGGCCCTGCTGGGCGACCCTTTGCTTCCATGCGCAGAGAGGGCTGGAGCGGCAAAGGCTGATGGCTCTGCATTTCCTTTCTCTCCTTCAGCAGCGTTCTGGACAGCCCCAGCCGACTAGATGAGGAACACAAGCTGATTGCCCGCTATGCTGCCCGGTTGGCTGCTGAAGCTGGAAATGTGGTAAGAATCCTCTGCACCCAGCCTGCCCACCCC